GGGGGCGGAGCCACCAGCAGGGGCCGCCCCCAGGGCTGTGCTTTGTTGTATTTTGCAGTCTTCATGTGGCACTATAACCCTTCCGTAAAATGAAGATTCGGACGAGTCCGAAGGGGGCTAACATCCCATCTGTGAGTACCCGCTGCCTGGCTCTGCTGATGGGCCACTCAGCAGTCTGACCTAAAAGGTCCCTGTAACGGTGGCCCCCACACCCCGCAGCCAGGAGCCAACATACTCACAGCACCCTGGATCCAGTGAGTGCCATGAAACCGCTAAAGTGAGAGCCAGGAGGAAACTCAGCTGCCTCTTGCCAGATGGGGGTGTGGCCAACAGGGGCCGCCCCTAGGCTGTGCTATTGTATTTTTGTGCCTAGTGTCCTCCTCCTGAAGGTGGCGCTATAACCCAATGGTCAAATCTGGAATGCTGGCTGTCTCTGCCATCAGTATTTCATGAGTCACTGGCCTGGAATAAGCATGCAGCCAGTGAAGTCAGAAGCCTGAGCCGCTTACATGTAACAGGTCAGTGTCTCACAAAGTACTGAAGCCAGTGGCTCAGAATGACAGCCAAGTGGGCCGGCATTCTACGCCTGGCAAAGGGGACTCCCATCCCCCCAGACGTACATCAAACTGAAGTTCAGAGGTTGGTTGGAGTAGACTAGCAAGAACCTCTATCAGTGCCCCATTCAGTAGATGTCCCCTCACTTCCTGTCCCAGTGACACCACACCCCATGCTGCAAAAGGCCTCAGGTAAGAGCAGAGATGTGGCAGAGGGCGGGGCCAACCACAGCCCAGAGATCCACCACCACGCTGGATCACAATATGGCAGAAGAGGAGGCAGTGTAATCACCCCCCTCCCCCCGTACGTCTCCAACATGGTGACAGGCAAAGCCCCGTGCGCACCCCCCACCATGATCAGACCCCAGCATTGTGAGTGACGCGTGTGGTGCCTCGTACCTCATCCATGGTCATGGATCTGTAGTTGAGGTTCTTGGCGCAGCGGGTGAAGCACAGTTCCGTCATCTTGTTATAAACCAGCAGAAAGTCCCGCAGCTGTCATAAAACACAGAACATTGTATATAAGAAGAGGGCTCACTGCACCCCCCAACCAGGGCTCCCCTTATTTCCTGTTCCCTCAAACTGGGCACCCTTCACGTCCTCTCCACCAAACTGGGCATTCCCCACTTCCTGTGCTCACAACCTGAGCATCAAACACTTCCTGTTTCCCCAAAAATGGTCATCTCTCACTTCCTGTCCATACAACCTGGACACCCTTCACTTCCTGCCACCCCCTTCCCCCAAACAGGGCACCATTCACCTCCTGTCCCCCATTATTTCCATCCCCCCCCAGCTAATCACCCTTCACCTTCTGGCCACCCAAACGGAGCACCCCAGACTTCCTGTGCTCACAAACTGGGTACCCTATATTTCCCGTTTTCCCCAAACTGGGCACCCTTCATTTCCTGTCCCCCGGGCTAAGCACCCTTCACTTTCTCCCTCATGGAACGTTTCCAGTGCTGGGGAAGGTTCGAAATCAGCCGTTACCAAAATGTTAATTCCCTGGCTTAGATCCCCATGACTATCCCTCTCCTCTCACATTGCGGATCTGTTGCTGCTCCTCGCCTGCCATGGTCACCGTTCCACGTTCCTATGACCTCCCGGCGTCGCCATCTTGCCGAAGAACACTTCCGGTGTCCTGTCGAATACGCCAATTCTTCGAGCTCTCCAACGACGTCACTTCCTGTTCATCTGACTCTGGCGGCCATATTGAATGGGGCAAGTCGTATTAATAACATGCCGGATTAATCTGATGTTGGTGGATTGTAATACTTTAATATAGACACCGGATCCTAACTATGACTGGAACTAGAACACAAGCAGTAGCAGGCGTACCTACCACACAGCAATAAAGTATTGCAATCAACTGACATCAGACTAATCTAGCGTGTTATTAATATGACTTGCCCCACCCAATATGGCCGCCAGAGTCAGATAATTGACAGCGGGGCAGAGCCACCTACAATGTGTGGAGAGAGTATCCCCTTCTCTAGAGAGAACCTGTCACCTGCACACACAGGTGATGTTGCTTTCATGTAGCCCCTCCCTCTCAGCATGTTTACATAACCAGCAACCACCCCATCAGAACCCTCTAATGAGATCAAGTAGATCAGTTCCCCCTCCCAGCAGTGACGCAGTAACTCACCCCATCTTGCTCCCCCCTCCCAGCAGTGACGCAGCAACTCACCCCATCTTACTCCCCCTCCCAGCAGTGACACAGCAACTCACCCCACCATGTTCCCCCCTCCCAGCAGTGACTGCTTATTGCTCCATTATCCTCAGGAAAAGTAAACTCCCCTTGTAGTTGGGCCCAGCCGCACTGCAAAGGATAGCGGCTTGTGGGGGGCGGGGGAAGTCATGACGACCGATGATTGGCACCCACATGGCATCGTCCAAACACCAAAAGTGAGGATTACATAAAGTTAGTTTTATTGCACTTAAATCACACAATAAAATTAGCAACGTTGGGGCCACTCCAGAACCTGGACCCCCCCAACCGGGGCCACACTGGACCGCTCCCCCAAGCAGGCGATGTGAAGGGAACTTCTATATATCATTCAGAGGGCAAATCACATCCCAGAAAGTATCAGAGGACAGAAGATGGAAACATTGTTACCTCAGAGACAGACGTTTCCCGGCAACCAATCAGCTTCTCCCTTCACTTTCTATGAGCAGTGTCCCCCCTCCTCCTCTTCTCTCTCTCCCTCTTCTCTCCTTCTCCACATCTCTCTCTCTTTTCGTCTTCTCTTCTATCTCGCACATGCGCATTGCCCTCCCCTCTGACACATGCGCAGTGGCCCCCCTCCTCTCTCCGGATAATGCGGATCGGTCGGTTGTGCGCATGCGCGGTGATCTCTCCGGGCCGGGTGTGTCGGTCGGTCGGTCTCGGTGCAGCATGACGGACGCCACGGTGGCGGACACCCGCCGGCTGAACTCCAAACCTCAGGACCTGACCGACGCCTACGGGCCGCCCAGCAATTTCCTGGAGATCGACATCTTCAACCCGCAGACGGTGGGAGTGGGACGGAACCGGTACACCGTGTACGAGGTCCGCATGAGGGTGAGTCCGAGGATGGGGAAGGGGGGGATGCCTGCTGGGGCCCCGGATGATGAGAGTCATGGTACCCTATGTATGATACACACACTGACAGTGGCGGAGTACAATACCCCCAGTAGAGGATCGAGGGATGGTGTATCTCTCCATGGCTGACACACTGGCAGTGGCGGGGTACAATACCCCCAATAGAGGATCGAGGGATGGTGTATCTCTCCATGGCTGACACACTGGCAGTGGCGGGGTACAATACCCCCAATAGAGGATCGAGGGATGGTGTATCTCTCCATGGCTGACACACTGGCAGTGGCGGGGTACAATACCCCCAATAGAGGATCGAGGGATGGTGTATCTCTCCATGGCTGACACACTGGCAGTGGCGGGGTACAATACCCCCAATAGAGGATCGAGGGATGGTGTATCTCTCCATGGCTGACACACTGGCAGTGGCGGGGTACAATACCCCCAATAGAGGATCGAGGGATGGTGTATCTCTCCATGGCTGACACACTGGCAGTGGCGGGGTACAATACCCCCAATAGAGGATCGAGGGATGGTGTATCTCTCCATGGCTGACACACTGGCAGTGGCGGGGTACAATACCCCCAATAGAGGATCGAGGGATGGTGTATCTCTCCATGGCTGACACACTGGCAGTGGCGGGGTACAATACCCCCAATAGAGGATCGAGGGATGGTGTATCTCTCCATGGCTGACACACTGGCAGTGGCGGGGTACAATACCCCCAATAGAGGATCGAGGGATGGTGTATCTCTCCATGGCTGACACACTGGCAGTGGCGGGGTACAATACCCCCAATAGAGGATCGAGGGATGGTGTATCTCTCCATGGCTGACACACTGGCAGTGGCGGGGTACAATACCCCCAATAGAGGATCGAGGGATGGTGTATCTCTCCATGGCTGACACACTGGCAGTGGCGGGGTACAATACCCCCAATAGAGGATCGAGGGATGGTGTATCTCTCCATGGCTGACACACTGGCAGTGGCGGGGTACAATACCCCCAATAGAGGATCGAGGGATGGTGTATCTCTCCATGGCTGACACACTGGCAGTGGCGGGGTACAATACCCCCAATAGAGGATCGAGGGATGGTGTATCTCTCCATGGCTGACACACTGGCAGTGGCGGGGTACAATACCCCCAATAGAGGATCGAGGGATGGTGTATCTCTCCATGGCTGACACACTGGCAGTGGCGGGGTACAATACCCCCAATAGAGGATCGAGGGATGGTGTATCTCTCCATGGCTGACACACTGGCAGTGGCGGGGTACAATACCCCCAATAGAGGATCGAGGGATGGTGTATCTCTCCATGGCTGACACACTGGCAGTGGCGGGGTACAATACCCCCAATAGAGGATCGAGGGATGGTGTATCTCTCCATGGCTGACACACTGGCAGTGGCGGGGTACAATACCCCCAATAGAGGATCGAGGGATGGTGTATCTCTCCATGGCTGACACACTGGCAGTGGCGGGGTACAATACCCCCAATAGAGGATGGAGGGGTGGGGTATCTATCCATGGCTAGCAGTGGCGGTGTGCAGGAGAGGGATGGTGGACCTGCTGTCGTGTTCACCACTAGAGGTGCCCTCATGGCTCTGTCATCCTTGGGGTGGGTGGCAGCTATGGCTCTGTCGTCCTAGTATTAGAACCTACCAGACTGAGCGAGGACCGGGGGGAGGGGCAGACCACAGAAATGACGGCTGAATTTTTTTATTCTGTTCAGTTTGTCTTGTGATTCATTGAAAATCTTTCTCGGCTGACAGGTGACACCTTCATTTCCTGTGTCAGCTTTGTAACTTCCTGGGGTCACAAGGATTAGATTGACACAAGTTGAGACTTTGTTCTGCATTTTCCTGGCACACGTTAACAGAGAACGATCCGCGGCATTCATATCTAATCCGACATGCGTGTGACACGCGTGAGGACAAAGAAGTCTTCATTCTGGGTCTTAGTTCTGCTCATCAGTCCGTAGCTCCGTGTGATTCCGGGGTTGCATACCGGATCCGGGGTCACACAACTGATCGTGTGTGTGGGCGTTACCCAGAGCCTACCTAGGACCGCCCACTCCTGCAGCCTGACATTTGCATAACTCCTCCCCCAAACCAGCCCGCTGCCTACATCAGGGCTCTTGATCTTCTCAGGAGTGAGAGGTGCTGCCCCCTGCTGACTGATTTTAGGGCTTCCAAACTTTGGGGGCCTGAAAGGGTTCCC